CCCCCAAATCCTTTTTTTTCTTCCTCAGCAAACATGTTTTAGTAAGTTTATCGTTCCCTCATAGATGCGTTCCCTTCAATCCCAGTGCAATCAGAAAAATTTCAACGCATATCGTGCTTTCGGGTGATCTGTCAATATCATTTATCATCCAGGCACAATTTCGTCAACACATTTGGCTATAATTTGAACGACGATACTGATGATCCCCGTTCAAATTCCATTCATGGTATTCTTGAACTCGTAATTTAGGGAGTTTTCAAGCTCCCCATCCACTTGGCCAGGTTGTTGTCGTGCCGAAGAAATGGACGTATCAGTCGGAGGTCCCGTCTCCTAACTTCTAAATAACTCTGCAGTGTTGAAAAGGACGTTCGAGTGAGTCATACACAAAAAAAAAGGAAAAAAGAATAGCGCTCTCTCAGTTCAATTCGTAGTTAGTATAGATCTAGTATTAACATAAACAAGCGAACGCATGGGATGACATCTGTTGCATAATTGACTATACAACTTGTATTCTCTCACTCGGGTTACGAATAGTTCGTCTCGTTTTTACTGCTTATGGTAATTTTGTAATTTATTGTAATATGACTCAAGCTAGGTTCAGACACCGCTGTATTTGTGAATTCTAATAAAAGTTGTCCTTGTGTAGCTATTCAAATCAGTGAATTCCTCCATGCTTGATTAATTGACAGTAGGTATATGCTTTATGGCGTACAGTGGCAGACTGACCTATGGGCATTAAGTAGAGCCCAGTGGATCGGTGCTGTTGTAATTTTTAAAAAAAGGGCTGCTTCATTGGACAAAAAGAAAGCCACTAAAAACAACTCTAGCCGTCAGATCGCTAGAATCTATCATTTCAATGTCTCAGGTTGAATGATATCTTTGGTCAGTCAACAACAGTCCACCATTCATTATCTGCTGTTTACAAAGCGTCGTCTGAGGTTAAAAAAGAGATGACAAGTGATGAACAGGGCTGTGGATTGTAAAAAACATTGGTAAGAAGGCCCTGAGATATAGATCGAGGAAGTAATGGAGAGGCAGCTTACACCCTACCCCAGGCATGGACAAACAACAGCCCGCGAGCACTTTCTCACTTTGAAAGTGTGGGTATTTCAGCCGATTTTACCGAATTTTTTCTTGCTTTGGTCTGCCAGATACATGTATTCGTAATTACATCGCTTAGCCCGGCCTGCAAATTGAACACACTTGCCCAAGCCTTCCCTGGACAGTGAGGAAATCGGCTACGGTACGGAGGCATAATAATATTTTCCTGGAAGTTGCAAAAGCTGCTGTGTAAATATGGTCCTTGCACAGACGATCATCTCTCTCAGTCACAAAGATCTAGTCCAAAACAGCAAGACATAACGCGGGAAGACAGGGTTTGCGAGGCCGAGGCTCGTTAATACTATCACGTGGCTAACCCCGGATGATGATGCTGATGCTGATGCTGCTGATGATGATGATGATGATGATGATGATGATGATGATGATGAGGAGGAGGAGGAGGAGGAGGAGGAGGAG